ATGTTTATCAGCTGGCTTATACAATCTGGATGAATTTTAATGAAATTTTCAGTAAACAGAAAATTAAAGATGGCCACCAAAGCTAACTGACTTTAGCCAGCACAAAATGGCTCAGAATCAGTCAGGTTTATGTATATTGAGCTAACATTTGATGTAGCTGAGAGGGTTGGGCATCGAGTCTCAAGTATCGATTGGAACCAGGACTAATGTTTCAATTCTCCTGGAATCATTCATAATTTTAAATTTCGATAGAAGTCGCCTAACACCACTGAAGAAAAAAACAAACAAACAGGTGAGCTGTCGAACACCAATTTGAGTTGGTGTTCAGTCTCAAATTGTTAAATTAAGTGAAATAATCTGCCAGTGCACTAAGACAGTTGCATTTGGTAAGCGTTGAAGTGGGGAAAACTTCCAGGCTAACAAGATTAAAGTGCCTGTGACATCAAATTTTTGTAATAAATGTGAATGCATTTTTGGAAAGAGAACGTTGATAACATCTTGTAAAACAAATTTCTTGCCATTGAGATGAACAGTTATTGAGATATTTGCATGTGAAGAAACAGGAAGTGATGTCAAAGGGGAATGTCTGCATGTAAACAGAGCGATGCTACAATAATTAGAGAAGAATCTGATGTTTCTTTAGATTATTTTGAGTCACTATCAGAGTTGAAGAAGAGTYTAAATAAGACTGTTTCAATAAACAAAGACCAGAGAGTTTCTTTTCTTGAAGAGTTCCCCTTTGATGTCACTTCCTGTTTGAGTTTGCTGAGCCAAATTCAAGAGAAAATTTGCCAGTTATGAGGAAAAAATGGCTAAAATCATGTGTGTTATGCTAATTATTGTAAATATAAATGTTTTCTTTGACGTTTTGTATTTGAAGGATAAGCATGTCACAGGCCCTTTAATAATCAAACATTCTGCCCTTGCTTAGTATATCATCTCAAAACAAAATCAAAAATACTCTTTGGCTTTTAGATATAAGTGTACAATTTGGTTAGATGGACACATTTTGCAGAGTACCCCTGTGTGAAAAGTAAATTCATAATCTGTTCATCTAGAAAGAACTCTAGCTACCTCATTAAACCATGTAAACCTTTTTGACCCTTCCTCTAAAAATAATCGAAATTGGGAATCGTTGGGAACCGAAATCCAAACAAGGAACCGGAATTGTTCAAATTCAAACGGTGATCAACCCTAGCTGAGAGTCATTTGCAACTCTTTATTTCAAGGTTTTGCCAAAACAACTCGAGCATCATTGTTCAACGCAACAGGATCTGTTTAAAACTCTGATGTGAAAGTTGGTGGGTAACATGCATCACGTCAAGGAACTTTTATCCCAGTTGTGTTTTTTTTATTCACACAAGTATTTAAACACGTTGATGCAGCTTATTGTCTCAGATTTATGCCTCCCAAGTAAATCTCTCGTGTTTGAGTGTCGGACAGCAGGTGTAGGTGGGGTGCGGGCGAGGGGGCTTTCCCGGGAATTGAAGATTTCTGATAATGCGGTGAACTGAAAGTTACCTGCCGCTCCATATTGCATTCCTGTGAATGCTTTAGCTGTGAGGAACAGTGTGTCCTCTGTGCTTCGTCTCTGGTGGGGGGAGGCCTATCGCTTCCCTCCAACCTGCCGAAGCCGACCGGCAGAACAAGACCCCTCTATGTGTGTTCTTCCGTGGGGAGGTGGGCTGGTGTGTGCCCAACCCCGTGTTGCTTCAGCATATTTAACCCCTGTCATCTTACCTTTAATGCCTCTGCACACAAGAATTTAACCTCCTGTGGACATTTCTCAGGTTTTAGTTGAGAGCTTCGGCGCTGAACGTGATGAATGCAGGAGTTGTCCTTCACATGGAAATCTGAATAAAATATGACTGATTGGTTTTGTGCCAAGGCTTACATTTGATAGCAGATAAAAAAATGTACTTCATCTGAATCTATGAAATGTGACCGTAATCTTACTTGTATTTGTGTATCTAAATGTGTTAAAGCCAGTCGGAGATCAAATACTGAGGTTTGCCAATGAACTCTTAAGTTTTCAGCAATGGCTTTGAACTAAATTCTCTCGGACCTGCTGGAACTCCCTGTTCGAAAACGTTTCCTATTTCTATCACTTATTTCTGCTGTGATCTGATGCAACAAAGTTAAAATTAGTTACGCCTGCAGAGCCTGATAGGACAAGTTCGCTTTAGTTTAGTGCTTTTTTGCGTTGTAAATATATTTGCAACGAACACCTAATTTACACTAGATGTGGTTCCGCTCCGCTGCGGTCTGACCTCCGCAGCAAATATGCAACCATTATAATCAATGACAGCATTTACACTGGCTCCGCATGGTGGCGGTGAGCGGACGATGATCCGCCAAAATTAGATTTGATCCAATTTTTACCAGACGCCGGGGGAGTCAATCTACGAAAATCACGTTGCACCAACAGGAAAAGAAACTAGCGCAACATCTGTATTTTCAAAATAATTCACCAAAGGCAGACTAATTTTGTCGAAATTCCAGCTAAATAAATAAATATATGGATATATTTCTACACAAATGCTGGCAAAATGTACCGTTCTGTTTGGGAAGCAGATGGCACCATGTAGTGTGCAGAATATGCATGCACAATTCACATGGATTTTATTTTGAAATCAGAAGTTTCAAAAAGACAGCGATGCAGTTTCAAATGTGTTTGGACTCTTGTCTTCCACAGAATGAATTATTTTGCGCTGACTTCCACATTTATCACTGGATTTATCGTGCAATCTCGCATTTCCTGCACACAGTCTTGGACCTCTTCTGTGGTTCGCACGGGACTGGACCTGAGCAGACGAAGTATAAATTGGGGTGCAAACGAACAGCTGCGAACTGCACACCTCAGCGGAACGGAGCGGAACTGCATCTAGTGTAAATTAGGGGTAATACTAGGGACTTTGATAAAGTTGTCAACCTTATTTTAGAGCTGTTTTTCCTTTATTTAGTCGTTAGGCTCCATTGACTGATTCAAAAACTGTTTAATTTAAAATAGGACCACTCATTAAGGATTTAGGGGTCATCAAAGGTGGAAAATTAGGAAGTAAGTGCAGCATTACTTCCATTAAAAACAATGGCGGAGCCCCGTGGGCATAGTGTGCGTCACAATTTTGCAACAATCTTTCAAACCATAGCAGAAAACAAACTAGATAAAATATTTAGATAGATTTCGAAATGATATGGGGGAGTCTAAGTGTTAAAAGAGTGACTGAAGAGCACAAAAATGAGGCCCACGCACTGCCAAGGTTGGACAGTACATTTACTGAAATACCTAGTAATACGGAGCAAATAGCAGGTGCAAAGAAATTGAGCAAAAACAGCCATGTCACATTTTTTTAAATCTGTACTTCTGTGTGCCTGATTTAATTTAGTCCATGCAGTTTTGTGTCTTTTCTTGTAATTGAAACTGCTGTTTGTACCGCTGGTGAGTTTTTTCTTTAAAACCTGCCAAATGTTTTGTGACAAAGGGCTATTTGTGAAAACTTCTCTTGTAATTTAGACGTGATGAATATGTTAATCTTAAGCCAACAGCCGTCATGGTCTTGAGGGGGTTTGTATTTGCTTTGGGAGCCTAACTTTGCCTTTGTGGTCGGAGGATATGAGAATCGGAAGAGCGGATATTTCTTTCCCAAACAGCCTTTCAGGACAGCACCAAATCAATGATGCATAGCGTCGCCCGCAAAGCCTCTGGAACAAGAAGATAAAAGGATACAAAAGCAGTTCATTGAGCTTTTTAAAGTGACTTCAGTTCACTTGGCAAAGCACCGTGGATAGAATGATAGATTAAGGCATGGAGCAACTGTATACCCCCCACATTTTTTTTGTAAATGTAAATCAGAAAATGTCCTTCCACCTCAGTCAGGCCTCGTGGCATCAGTGCTACATAATACTCTGTTTAACCCTCCAACATTCAGCTCCTGTAGCTTTGTGTGCCCGTGAAAGTGGCCTTTCTTCTTCCGTTTTGTTGATATTTCTTCTTGTGTGGGAGGGATTTTCTTGTCTTCTGTTTAATACTTGGCAAGTCAATGAAGCATTTGCCCT